ATAAAATATTTTCTATATTGAGTATACATTTACATATTTTATAGAATATATTTTACTCTATGCTATATGTAATGTGTAGAGTACACCTTTATATACTTATACACACTCATTATATGCTCATTCTCTGCCGGGTGTTTGTTTTATACCCTCTACTGGGCTGTGGAAAACCTGTGGGCAGGGGCTGTACCAGATTCCTCCTTGTGACCTCCATAGCACATAACAGCTGTTCAGTAAATATTTGGTGAATTATTACGTGTATGTCAGTCATTGAATACTGAATAAATCCCCAAGGTTTCTGGTTTATGAGCTGCTTCTTAACATAATTTTTATAAAAACTTTCTTTAAACAGGGCCTCAATAGTATATTCACATACATAACATAATTCAGAATCTAAGAATAACTAAATATAGTAAAGGTTGGTATTAACATATTTAGGATGAAAATATACAGTAGGAAAAAACACCCCTCAATTAGTTAGGCATCAGAAAATTTACACTTGCTTATGCAGAGAATACATATTAAGGCTAACGGTCGAAAGTTAATGGCCAGACCATGAATAACAATTTTTAAATTAATGAACAAGGGCCTTGTTCACACATTGGAAAAGATTGTTCTAGAAATTAGACCCCCACACCCTGAGTACATGTGCCTTTGCAAGTGTGACTATAAAACAAAATACACTGTAATTTGTGGTAAATTACTCCAGGGGAGACTGTTTTATTCATCTTTGTATCCTTATAGTGCTCAGTGGATTAAAATAAAAAGATACTTGTTAAAACTGATACAGACATTTAAATGACTCTTGTCCCATTCAGAATAAGCCACCTTACATGGCTACCCGCTGGAACAGCAAGCTCCTTCATTTCAAAGAGCCTGCTATTGGTCTCCACTATCTATGACAGGGAGTTAAAATTCCAGCCTGAGAGTCAAGTCCCCACACAATTTTCTTTCCTTTTCTAATCTCCTTTCCCACCTCTTTCCTTCGAGCATCTTCTCTGCCAGTCAAACTGAACTCCCTGATTTCGCACTTGCTGCCTCCGCCCCGCTGGTCGTTTGGCAACTCCCTCCGCCGTTTCTCCCCCCCCCC